AAGTTTGACAATTACCTTTGACAACAACAAAATCAGTCCGACATTTACTTTCATTATTCAAAACGAAAACATTAGCAGTAAACGTACCTAAGACCTGAAGTGGTTTAGTACTTCCATAAGCGTAGAGTGATGGTATCGAGCATTTTCTCGAATTACACACAATTCTCTCACTCTTCAGCCATTCCCAAGTATTGCTTCCCATGAAATTTCAGCAAGCACCCGAATCAATTATTACATTCGACAAATTAACTCCTCCCACATTTAAAGTAATTATTCCATCATGGTAGGAATTGTGATCTCTCACGGTGAATGTAAACTCACTATTTTCGTCATTCGAACAATCAACGCAATTCGTATCATTCAACCGCTTACCGTTTTTATTTATTCTCGGTTGGTTTCGGCATCGCTCATTATGTCCTTGTTGCCGTGCAGGTTTACCTCGAAATTTATCACATCGAACTTTGAAATGTTCTATTCTTCCGCATTTTGAGCATCGTTTACCTCTTGCTGGGCACATCTTATCTCTAGAAAAATGTCCGATTCGGCCACAAGAGTAACATTCCCTTTCCTTCCCTGTAACAGATGTATAACGGCTTGGATTATTTACTAAATTCACCTGGTGCGATTCTGCGTCAGCTTCAATTGCTTTCGCCTGATGATCAACAGCTTCCATTGCCCTTGCAATTTTTAGCAAATCACTTAATTCGAGATTTTCCTTTTCGAGAAATCTTCGTCGCATGGAATTGGACCGACAATTATTAATCACTTGGTCCCGTATGTGATCATCTTCTTTATCATCGAAGCCACATGTTGTTGCTCTTTGACGTAACCTACAAACAAACTGATCGACCGTTTCATCACTGGCCTGTTTAATTTGCCTGAATAAATGTCTTTCAAAAGGAATATTGGATTTCGGAGTAAAATATTCATCAAGTAAATTTAAAGTTTCGGTAAATGTTTTCTCTTCATCGAGTCCCGCTAAAGTATAAAAAATATCTTGTACCTTTACACCAGCGGTGAACAAAAGCAAAGCTTTCTTGGAGCTATCTGCCCTCGTTCCCTTGGCCGTCAAATATAATTTAAATGAACGTCTCCAACGTTGCCACCGTTGGGAAATACCGTGCGGGTCTCCATCGGAATCAAATGGTTGCATCGTTTCAATGTTATTCTGCATGATCTTGGATGGCTATATTCCTGCTATATAGAATAGATCTGTTTCAATCAAAAAAGTTACCAACGATTTCCTTTATCGTCCAAGTCCAGCAGGTCTTCGCCAATTGTAATTCAATATCCTTGTCGCCAGTTGTAGTGTCTCGCCTCTATCTTCAATGTTCTTTATCTTGCTAAGCTTTCCCCAAGGCAACACACGATATTTGCACACAAAATAAGAGGCTTTTACTGCTACAATTCAGTATGCACAAAAGCTACTGATACAACTTAATAAACAGCGAATAACACCATACAATAGAACCAGCACCAGCCACGCCGTCAATGTCCTTCTGCTCCCCTTGGCATGTATCCTTGCGCATTTATATCGCGCAGGACTAAATCAATCATGCAATTCATGACCATCGGACCATGAACACTACAGTGCTGTTAAGTTGGACGTACTTTCAAGAGATTTATTATTTCGAAAAATTGATTCTATTTGTTGAAAATAGTGTTGGTGGTTGATCAGATGCATCGAATTCTCAGCTGATGATTTTAATGCATTATTATACTCTCATTAACTCATAATTGCCATAATTTACTCCGTGGGATCGCAGGAATATCTATAACGGTGATATCTTGAAATTAATCGAGTGGCGGCATTGCGATAGAGCGGAGTAGGAGTTGCAGGGACAGCTCATATTGGTGAAATTGGCAAGAATACAAATCAAAATGTAATCGACATTTTTATGGTTGCGGATTACCGTGTTACCGCGACGCAATCGCAGATTTAATTTATCACAATTAAATGAATAAAGCAACCATTTTAAATACGTATATTGATCATGAATTGAATATTTTATTCAACAAGAAAACCATTACATATCCGTTGAAAAAGTCGGCTCTTTTAACGACTGGCGTAATCTCGAGGACTGACTGAGGAGCCGTACCGCGGGGATTTCGTGTCGATGAATATGTATTTTTCATCTACTAATATACTTTAGATGTATTTTAATTGTACTTAATTTAAATTTCCTTTTGGGATATTATACCAGATCTTTCTAATGACGACAACGAATTTGCATGAGTGCAATATATATAAAAACTAAATATAATCAGGCAGTTGATCACACTTTATTATGTCCGCGGATTGGCGTGGTATTTTAGATAGGTAATGAGTTTATTTTGTCGTGAGTCGCCGCAACCGCGAGTTACTTTGAACACAAATGAATTAAAATAGAGAGACATTTTGAATTATTGTAGTTATTACGAGACTGAAAAATTTATCATAACACGGAAAAGCCGGTAGTTTTAACGAACGTGGAGACCGTTTCAAGAGCCGTTACATGTAAATTTTTGAATCCATCTTGTGACCTCTCGCCCCCCACCCCCCTGTGAGCATCTCGCCCCCCCTGTATCTTTAACGGTGTACGACCCTGTAAATAACAAGGTGATTTAACGACGTTTTAGACCGGTAGTGTTTTCTAGGAATTGGGAATTGTTAATTTTCAGTCGTATCAAGTTATGTTAGACTTGGATATTATGTAGAAAAGAAAATGCTCACTTAGAAAACACTCTCGCTTATTAACGCAAACTGAAAACAAATCACGTACTTGTTGATGAGGGGCGTATACATATCTAAAAGTATTCAGTGTGTTTGCATATTCGTGAACATCTATCAATGTGACAAAAAGTTTCATTTTGCTCCATGTACAATTTTTAAAGCAAATATGTATTTATATGGCAGTGCTAGTATCTTTACGATTGAGGGTATTAGTTTTGAGTAGTCGATCGCTATAAGACAAAGAAGTCTATCTCCTTCCCAGAACTTCCTTTGGTCAGCTAGGTTTTCTAAAGTGGCAGGGCGGGGTTCGTCTCACCTACGGTCACATCACACATAATGTAACAAAATTGACATAACCATCCGACGTGTTTTCCAATGCATAGTCAACTACATATCAGTCAAATACTCATTTAACCATGAAAGTGTGATGACATTGATAATTTACTATTCACTTCACTGACTGGTACACTGTTTTCTCACCACCTGCGTCTGCAACAGTCTCGAAGCATGCAACTCCTTTTTACAATCGCAAGACTGGTAGGAACTGTCTGAATCTAGGCCACTTCTGGCATGAGGTATGTACTGTTGCTAGTGGCAACCGCATTGGAATCGTTATGACGTCATGAAGTGGGTCGAAGCCAGTGACTTTCTTAATTTTCAGCTGCTCCTGGCCTTATTTATGCACGGTTACTAGTGGTAACTGACATGAAACATCGTGACGTCATTAAGGTAATCAAATATGATTTCCTAGTTAGGAAGGTCAAAATCACCGACCCTTAAAAATATCCTGTGGAATCGGCATGGACCGTAGTCGCCTCACAATGATATCCAAAATCGAAGAGATTATCATTTAACATTCAAAAGATGAGATCGGTCGGAGCACAAAGAGGTAGTTGATCTGGATTGTACGGGTTTGGTGCGGTGAAAGTCCCTTCAAGTGGGATGAAAGTCACCCCAGAGAATAATATGAAAATCCGCTGATTTGTTGACATTTCATCCGCAACAACAGCATGTATCCCTACACATCACATCGTGGGAATGTTTGAAAATGTGTATATTGTGGTTGTTAAATAGGATTAATTGAATAATTTGATTTAAGCAATATATTACAGAAGTATGACATAGAACTGTGTTCAAAATCTTAACCAACCCTTTGTGCCACATTCTGTATTGCAAATTTGAATAGTAACCAGTCTACACTTTGCACCTGAACGGATTTTATTGAATACAATGAGTATCAAGAACAACTTAATAACAAAAAGACTCATAGATTCACTTCGTTTCCAATGTCCCTTGCAATTGCATTTATAGTTACACAAAAAAAATCAGTACTTTTCTGATTAATGAAAACGTGGAGCTGAAACCACCTGACATGTTAATCAATGCATAGTCTACTCAGTATGATGACATTGATAATTTGTTATTCACCGACCCGCCTATTGTTTCTATCCATACTGCCAGTAAAAATAAACACATAAAACACGCCCTGACTTGGACATCACTTTTTCGGAGGGTTCTTCCTGTCTTCCTTGTTGTTGTTCGCGAGCGAGCCTCATACCAAGATATTCGGGTAGAATATCTCTGAGCCCAAACTCTTTTTATGTACTGTTGCTAGTGGTAACCGGAGTAAAAACATTGTGACTACACTAAAATCCCAAAATGGTTTCTTGGTTAAAAAGATCAAAATCACCCTCTCTACAAGTATCCGGGTGAATCGTATCGATTTTTTATTGTGTAATTTTATTTAGACCAGTGCTCGTCATCCTTTTTTGGAATGGTACACCCCGCACATCCTACATTTTTAATACGTAAAAAACTCAATGTTTAGAATTTATGTTGGCACAATGATTTATTATTTAGTTAACGTGAACGTTGCTCTTAGATTTCATCACTTAGTTGTGCAAATCAAGTTAATAACCTTGTTTTCAGTGCCCCTCTCATTAGCGTATCGACACCCTTGACCGAATTTTACATCATAATACATATATTATACACATATAATACATCCCATTCGCTTCTAGAATTTTTTCCAGAAAACCCATTTTGATTTGCCGTTTCTCAATCTATCAAAAAATATTGACGATTTATTTTTATTAAAGATGATACTACAATGAAATGTAATAAAACCGACGTAGCATTATTTTTTAAGCTTTACGTCAGTATTTAAGAATATGTATTAAAAAAGTTCTCCGTACATCCGATTTGTGTAGAAAGTTTCTGGACTGCTTGTCATCTGAATCCTATTGAGTTTCTGATTGAAATATTGAAAGCTCTCAATTTTTTTTTAAAAACTAGAGACAAATAAGTAAGGAACTTCTTCCCATGAATCTAATGAATATAGTGTGAATAAGGTCTCTAAACAAACTTAACGTAACAAGGTTATTTTTGGCTTGAACCAATTTGTCTAGGAACGACATTTCCATTTCCTAAAATATCCATATAAGTAAAAAACGAATATTCGTCTTGATAAACTTATCAAATCCAAAAACTGACTTTGGTTTCAAATTGCGGTTTTTCAAATTCATCATCCCGGTTTGTTATTTTTTGAAAAGTCAAAATATTTGCAAAAAACAGGTTAGACAGAAACGATAAAAAAAAGTAGTAGCAAGCAGTTTTAGTCATTTTGCTGTACATCCTTCAACTTACGAGGATCTTTCAAATGTTCCAGTAGACAAAAGAGACGAACTATTCTGTTTTCTGGGAATAGTAGGCTATATATCACTACTGCTACCACAATTCTGAAATGTCTGTTGCACTTGAAAGCTGAAATAAAAACACGATCATCGTAATCAAAATAAACAAAATTAAATTACTAAAATTTACGCTATAAAACATGAGTTGAGTAGTGAGAATTTCTCGTCTTTATGGAAATATTATTCATTTTACAACTTTAAGTAAGGGGATTTCCATGAATCTAATAACTATGGGGTGAATAGATTTAAAAAAAGTTACCGAAACAAGGTTATTTGTGGCTTGAACCAATTTGTCTAGTAACGACATCTTCATTTTTAAAAAATCCAATATAGTTAAAACTTAAATATTCGCCTTTACTAAATCTAAAAACTTACTTTGGTCTCAAGTTGCGGGTTCTGAACATAATCATCATGTATGTTATTTCTAAAAAGTTAAATTTTTTGCAAATAACAGGCTAGACGGATACGTCCATTTATAATGCGAAGCGATCAAGAACAAAGAGATTTTTAAATTAGAATGTCATGGAAGAAGTATAATTCCAAATAGTAACGATTCTAGATATAAAGTGAAGAGTTTGCAATTTTTATCATGATAAGAGAATAAAGAAGATTTTACTCACGACTTTATCTCCAACGATTCTGGTTTTCGTAAGTTTAAAAAGTTTAAATCCGATGCCCAAAGCAGGGAGTTTGTCTCCCAAACTGCTGTCGGAGTTCTGTAAATAAAATGTTTTGAGAATAGTGGCAACAGAAAATTATTAATTAAAACTTACTTTCGTAAACGATTTTCCAGAGATACTCGCACAGACTTCAAGTAGTTTCTTCTCCCAAGCGTTCCATTTCTAAAAATGCGTAAGTTAATTACAATTTGTCAATATGCATATTATTCATATCCGTTTCGTGTAACAATCATCCATCCATGCCTTGGGTAACTAGCTTTCGATGAATTATTGTATTATCTTTTAGCCAACTGTTTTTAAAAATCTATTTCAAATGTATGCAATTGATAATGGGAATAAAGTTCACTGAAGACATTCCATGTACAAGACCACCGCAATAAAAAACTTCCCGTTTTTCTATCAAGCAAATTCAGCCCGATTCTATAAAGTATAAACCAACTCAAATGTGGAAATGTGAACTAATATCCATAGAATAAAATCAATGGTCGATCAAAATCGGCTTGTAGAAGAATGTGTTACTCGCAGTCAGCTTCCACCTCTCAATATTATGAATTGTTTATGTGTAATATCTTTACATTGTGGTTAGGTTGTGTTCGTTATGAACGAAACGCAGTTCAAGGCGATGGAAAAATAATCACACTTTTCTTTTTCAAGTATATTGTTGTTGTTATTACAAGATTCATCATCTTTGTGCAGCCATCGTTGCCAATACCATTTAATGTATGATGTCATTTAATTCATAAAGTTCTTCGTCCGCAAAGATTAATTATTTTTGAGTGAAGTTAATCTAACCATCTGGCATGTTTACCAATAAATAATCTAATAAATTACTTTATCAGATATTGACGATTTGTCATTAACTTCACTGTCTGGCCTATTGTGTCTGTTCATAATGCCTGTAAATTAGACTCACAAACTCGAAGTGACGTTGAAAAACTTTGAACCGATTTTAGTGGTCTCATGTTGTTTTGATCTAGCGCTGTCGTTTTGTTTGTTATGCCTATGATCAGCGTTGGAACATTTTAAATATTCTTTCTTAACTTTTCTTGATTCTCTTCTCATTAGACTTCTCGAATACCGTTTTTCCTATTCAGCACCTGCGTCTGCAACAGATTTGCAGCACGCAAGTCCTAAATCCAGCGCCGGTAAAATAAGATATGGACTGGAACCCCAGCCGCTGTTGGCCTCGGTTACTAGTAGTAACTGAATATGAAACATTGTGATGTCATTAAGGTAATCAATAATGATTTCTTAGTCACAAAAGGTCAAAATATCAGATATCCAAAATCGAAGTTGATTTGGATTGAGCGGTGAAAGTCCCTTCAAGTGGGATGGAATTTACGCCAACGATTAGTTTGAAACCCCGCCGATTTGTTGACATTTCATCCGCAACAACAGCATGTATCCGAAAACATCTTCTCTCACACGCTGACACGTCTTTCTCATAAGGATTGCAGCCTCATCTTAGACTAAAGGAAATTTTAAACAAACCGTCGCAAGAGCCGCGGGTTGGCCACTCTTGATCTAGCGCTGCCCTCGTTGGGTCAGTACCATTCTTCGATTGAATTACCTTTCCATCTGTTTTTTTCTTCTCAACCAACGCCACCTTTGCGTCTTGGACATTTTTTTCTTTTTATACGCGTTCCCCCAATACCTATTCTCGTCGTTTGTGCATTTGCAGGACGCCACCCCCATATTTAAATTGGCTGAGAGGAATAGGATATACGTCAAAGATATTGCAAAAACACAATTAGTAGAAAATTATGAATACATGGGTTATAATAAATCTAGTATGGATGGTAGAAATGAGTATCGAATTAACCCACCACGACAGAATCCAGGTTCCCCTTCGCTTCTAGAATTTCGTCTAGGAAAGTCATTTTCATTTGCCGTTTCTCAATCTATTAAAATATATTCACGAATTATTTTTATTAAAGATGGTATCACAGTGAATTGGAATAAAACCGACTTACCATGTTGGAATTTTGAAACCATTTTTTTTTTAATTTTCCTTGATTTCCTCTATTTTTGGCTCGTTAAAAGCCGATTTTGCTTTTTATCCTCATCACTCGCGTCTGCAACCAGTTATCTACAGATGTGAAGTCAGGTAGAAACTCTCTGAATCTAGGCCACTCCTGGCATGGGGTATGTATTGTTGCCAGTGGTAACCGGATTTGAGTAATAACTAGCCTGTTATAAACTGCGACACCCACAAACAATCAAGACTTTTTCGTTTAACAAGGCGTAGAATGTTCCTAAAAACATCTGCTGGCATGTTTACCAATACATAATCTACTAAATAGCAGTCGAATAAGCACATTACTTCATCAGATATTGACGATTTGTCATTAACTTCAATGGCTGGTCTATTGTTTATATTTATAATGCCTGTAAATTAAACTCACAAACTAGAACTTAAGTTGAAATCACTTTAGTGGTCTCATGTTGTTTTGATCTAACGCTGTCTCTTTGTTTGCTATACCCATGATCAGCCTTGAAACATTTTAAATATTCCTTCTTAAATTTTCTTAAGTCTCTTCGACTTCTCGAAAGCCGTTTTTGCCTCTTAAATTTTCACAAGTCTCTTCTCCTTCGACTTCTCGAAAGCCGTTTTTGCCATTCATCACCTGCGTCTGCAACGGGTTTGCAGCACGCAAGTCCCATATTCTCCTCCAGCAAAAACAGATAAGAACTTGAAATTCAAGTCACTTCTGGACCTATTTTACTACTTAAGTTGAAATCACTTTAGTGGTCTCGTGTTGTTTTGCTCTAACGCTGTCATTTTGTTTGTTATCCCCATGATCAGCCTTTGAACATTTCAAATATTCCTTCCTAAATTTACTTAAGTCTCTTCTCCTTTGACTTCTCGAAAGCCGTTATTGCCATTCATCACCTGCGTCTGCAACATGTTTGCAGCACGCAAGTCCCATATTCGCCACCAGCAAAAACAGATGAAAACTTGGAAAATCAAGTCACTTCTGGACCTATTTATGGGCGGTTACTAGTGGTAATTGAATATGAAACATTATGATGCCATTAATACTATACAGGCTATATTTAGTGGGACTTCTGGCATTTCTTAGATTAAACAATGCTCTTTAAATTTTATTTCATGTTTTTAGGGTAGAAAACAAAGATTCGCAGACGAATGTTAACCCGAATATTGACAATATCCTAATTGCAGCTCGTTTGACCTTGGAGTATTTTCTTTCCCATCAGCATGCTTTACCTAGAGGAAATTTCAAACAATCCGTTGCAAGAGCCGCGGGTTAGCCACTCTTGATCTAGCGCTTCCCTCGTTGGGTCAGTACCATTCTTCGATTGAATTCCTTTCCATCTGTTTTTTTTTTCGTCTCAACCAACGCCACCTTCGCGTCTTGGACATTCCCCCCCCTCCATTCTCGTCGTTTGTGCATTTGCAGGACGCTAGCCCCATATTTAAATTGGCTGAGAGGAATAGGATATACGTCAACGTTATTGCAAAAACACTATTAGTAGAAAATTATGAATAAATGGGTTATAATGAATCTAGTATGGATGGTAGAACCGTAGTAGCCTAGTATATATTTACGGTAGCACTGAGTATCGAATAAACCCACCACGACAGAATCCAGGTTCCTCTTCGCTTCTAGAATTTTTTCTAGGAAAGTCATTTTTATTTGCCCTTTTCTCAATCTATTAAAATATATTCACGAATTATTTTTATTGAAGATGGTACCACAGTGAATTGGAATTAAACCGACTTACCATGTTGGACTTTTGAACCCATTTTTTAAATTTTCCTTGATTTCCTCTATTTTTGGCTTCTCAAAAGCCGATTGTGCTTTTTATCCTTATTGCTCGCGTCTGCAACCCGTTATGTACAGATGTGAAGTCAGGTGGAAACTCTCTGAATCTAGGCCACTCCTGGTAATATGTATGTATCGTAGCCAGTGGTAACCGGATTTGAGTAATAACTAGCCTGTTATAAACTGCGACACTTAGACAGTATAACCCTTGTAATTGCGTTTGTAACTACCCACAAATAATCAAGACTTTTCCGTTTGATCAAGGTTAGAATGTTCCTAAAAACATCTGGCATGTTTACCAATACATAATCTACTAAATAGCAGTCGAATAAGCACATTACCTTATCAGATATTGCCGATTCGTCATTGACTTCACTGGTTGGCCTATTGTTTATATTTATAATGCCTGTAAATTAAACTCACAAACTAGAACTTAAGTTTAGACTAAATCACTTCAGTGGTCTCATGTTGTTTTGATCTAACGCTGTCATTTTGTTTGTTATCCCTATGATCAATCAGCCTTAAAACATTTTCTTCTTAAGTCTCTTCTCCTTTGACTTCTCGAAAGCCTTTTTTGCCGGTGACCGTACATTTGAACCCATGCGTATATCCACGGGTTCAATCTATATGCGGGTGCTAAAACCCATGGGTTAGGGTTAGTATGGGTTTAACTATCCGTGAAACAAAAAAAATTCCATAGGTGCAATAGCATACAGGTGCAATTGTTATGGGTTCAAATGTACGTGGGTTCAAATGTAATGGAACCTTTTTTGCCATTTATTACCTGCGTCTGCAACAGGTTTGCAGCACGCAAGTCCCATATTCTCCGCCAGCGAAAACAGACAAGAACTTGGAATCCAAGTCACTTCTGGACCTATTTTACTACTTAAGTTGAAATCACTTTAGTAGTCTCATGTTGTTTTGATCTAACGCTGTCATTTTGTTTGTTATCCCCATGATCAGCCTTGGAACATTTTAAATATTCCTTCTTAAATTTTCTTAAGCCTCTTCTCCTTGACTTCTCGAAATCCGATTTTGGCATTCATCACCTGCGCCTGCAACAGGTTTGCAGCACGCAAGTCCCATATTTAAATTGGCTGAGAGGAATAGGATATACGTCAACGTTATTGCAAAAACACTATTAGTAGAAAATTATGAATAAATGGGTTATAATAAATCTAGTATGGATGGTAGAACCGTAGTAGTATATATTTACGGTAGAACTGAGTATCGAATAAACCCACCACGACAGAGTCCAGGTTCCTCTTCGCTTCTAGAATTTCTTCAAGGAAAGTCATTTTCATTTGACGTTTCTCAATCTATTAAAATATATTTACGAATTATTTTTTTCAAAGATGGTACCACAGTGATTTGGAATTAAACCGACTTACCATGTTGGACTTTTGAAACCATTTTTTTTTTAATTTTCCTTGATTTCCTCTATTTTTGGCTCTTTAAAAGCCGATTTTGCTTTTTATCCTCATCGCTCGCGTCTGCAACCAGTTATCTACAGATGTGAAGTCAGGTAGAAACTCTCTGAATCTAGGCCACTCCTGGCATGAGGTAGTAACCGGATTTGAGTAATAACTAGCCTGTTATAAACCGCGACACCTAAACAGTATAACGTTTGTAACTACCCACAAACAATCAAGACTTTTCCGTTTGATCAAGACGTAGAATGTTCCTAAAAACATCTGGCATGTTTACCAATACATAATCTACTAAATAGCAGTCAAATAAGCACATTACTTTATCAGGTATTGACGATTTATTATTACTTTCACTGGCTGGCCTATTGTTTATATTTATAATGCCCGTAAATTAAACTCACAAACTAGAACTTAAGTTGAAATCACCTTAGTGGTCTCATGTTGTTTTGATCTAACGCTGTAATTTTGTTTGTTATCCCCATGATAAGCCTTGGAACATTTTAAATATTTCTCCTTTGACTTCTGAAAAGCCGTTTTTGCCATTCATCGCCTGCGTCTGCAACAGCTTTGCAGCACGCAAGTCCCATATTCTTTGCCAGAGAAAACAGATAATAACGTGGAATCCAAGTCACTTCTGGACCTCTTTTACTACTTAAATTGAAATCAGTTTGGTGGTCTCATGTTGTTTTGATCTAACGCTGTCATTTTGTTTGTTATCCCCATGATCAGCCTTGGAACATTTTAAATATTCCTTCTTAAATTTTCTCAGGTCTCTTCTCCTTTGACTTCTCGAAATCCGATTTTGGCATTCATCACATGCGTCTGCAACATGTTTGCAGCACGCAAGTCCCATATTCGCCACCAGCAAAAACAGATGAAAACTTGGAAATCAAGTCACTTCTGGACCTATTTACGGACGGTTACTAGTGGTAACTGAATATGAAACATTGTGATGCCATTAATACTATACAGGCTATATTTGGTGGGACTTCTGGCATTTCTTAG